ATGTTTCCAGCAGACTTTATTTTGATGCTTACCAAAGCAGAATATTTTAAAGAGCAAAAATCTCCAAAGTAATTACAGGGTCAGATTGTTTCAGATTCTTTCTTCACCACTATTTGCATTCCTGAATACATTTCAGTGAGAGAAATGAGGAATAACTAAAAGACTTGCTAGTTGAACTGATTTTTATAAGAAAAATCACGATATAGTTCATAAGAAATTTCAAAACCACTGTTAAATACAAATGTCATTTATACTTTACACTGAACTACAGTCACAGCACTTCTTGTGAAACCTCTTCAAAGGCTCACACTATAAAAGAGAGAGAGACAGAAGCACAAATGCTGATTCATGAAGACCATTTGAACAAAACACGATCTGGAAAACTGAAATGGTGTAGGGTATAAGATTCAGTCATGCTGCATGACAAAACAGAGGAAGAACATATGAGACACAGGCACTGGTGATCATAATCCCTTCACACAGGACTAGCTGAAGCATGGAAGAACCATTTGCTATATCCCTTCCATTCCTGTTTCCCTCTCTCCCACCTATCCCAAAACTCGGAGGTCTACAGAGAGGTTCCTCCACCATCACTGCACCCTAAGGAAGCTTTTTGGAACCCTGAAAACTGCAGCAGCTTGGGCTGAAACCCCTCATGGCACCACAAGTTAGCTGCTGTCTGCCGTACAGTCTGATCAGGTACTACCAACCCTCTTCTACCCCTAAGCCGGGTAGGGCCACATCAGCGGAGCAGAAGGTTGCAAGAGGAGGCTCAGCAGGAGACACCAGTCGCTGCTAACAGCTCTAAATGGTTTAACAAGTACCTGGTGCCAAAAGCAGGGCACTAGCTGAAGATGTAGCCATCAGGATATCAGGCACCCTAGACCTGGAGAGAGGAGGAGAGGTAAACATTACTTTTCCATCCTAATTGTATCCAGGACAGAGGAAGAACGGCTCAAAAAAGACTACAATTTGGAAAATAAATACATTTCCATTTGTTAGAGTGTGGAAAGCTATGAGCTAATGAATTCTGCACTACTCGCAAACTTTGGCCAATTAGCCTGTAACGTTTGTGAACCAGCACATAACCCAACCCTCAGGAAATGCTGCAAAACTCAACAAAAGGCAAATAAATCACTGCGTTTCTGCTTTTTTGTGTAGAAAAGTATCCCTGGCAAAACCAGGGCATTTTTTCCCCATCACATTTACTTAACTTTTTCACCTCTTACTTTGCCTTGGGGAGTTTCAGTTCTACCCCTGAGCAAAAACACAGTATCTCAACACAAGAACAGGCCAGTGCTGATGAAGGCCTCTATATCACTATATAAATACTCGTATCAACTGGTATATCAATGTGCACATATCTAGTTTAGTAACATGCATACTCATGTCCACTACCAGCACCAAAGCTTAGGCCCTTTTAGGCTATTTTTTATCAAACACTGCAAAGCCAACTTAAGCACCCACGGACATGCACAACTGCTCATGTCAGTGATGCCACACTCCAAATACCTAGAAACTTTCCAAGCCTGCAATGGCCCCTGGGCAGCCATCTACTCCTAAAGGGACTCATTTTCAACAGAGCAAACATATCCCATAATCCTAGAGCAGAGTAAATGGACCATGGAGCATGGGATTTGTGATAGCGAAATTACAGTCTGTAACTGAGCAGAATTTCCTATAACCGTTGACTTGAGTTTTTCTCTTTATAGCAAGTTTCTCAATAACCGGGTCTTTTTCCTGATAGGGAGATGAGCAGAATTCAGTCTTTATCGGTTTTATGAGTAAGATTTTATTACACAGAATCACAGAATGGTAGGGGTTGGAAGGGACCTCTGAAGATCTAGGTGATCCTAGATGTCCAATCCCCTGTCAGAGCAGGATCACCTCAGGTAGGTCACACAGGAACACGTCCAGGTGGTTCTGAATGTCTCCAGAGAAGGAGACCCCACAATCTCTCTGGGCAGCCTGGTTTTTATTCATCCTTCTGCCCATATTTCATTACTTCTCACAGTCCAAAGCATTTCCCCTAAAGGAGAAAAAGGATTACACTTGGTGGTAACTAAATCTCCTTGCTCTTCAGTCTCAGCACTCTTGTCCATTTATTTATTGCATCTCTACCTGAAAAATCCTTGAAAAAGTAGTTCAAAGATGTTTATCTGTTGAGACCTTCAAGTAACAACTTCACAGCAATAACTACCAGCTCATTTCAGAGGTTACACATTCAGATGCCAATTTTGTTAATTATTTCAGAGCTCACCTCTAGGAGCAGAGTGGAGGTACGATTCTGTGAAATCAGCATTAAACATCTCGAGTTTGGGTTGGACATTTAACACCACTATCTAGCTGAATAGTTGAGTACAAATTGCTTCATTTTCATAAAGGTAAATCAGTTTTCAACAGTTCAAAAAATACTCCTACATTGCTTTGCAATTTCCTCTCATGAGATGATGTTCAGGAAAGTATTAACGAAACTAGTTAAGCCCACTAACAAACACACTAACAAACAATTGCCTAGAACAGAAAAATTCTTATATTGTTGCTGTCTACTGAGCTAGCAAGCATCATCCCCATATAACAGATGGGTACAGGGAGGTCAATTCACACGCTAGCACTGTGTGAGAGGACAGAACACAAGTATCCCTTGCCCTCTGTGCCGCTCCTTGGTATCTATCTGCTGGGCAGAAACCACTCCAAAGCCAGCTCACCACCTCCTAGCAGCTGCTGAATTGGCACCTGCAAGCCCCAAGGAGCCACCACGGGATGCTCCAGCAGCCTTTGCCGGGTACCTGCCCACAGCGCCGCGGCCGGGCAGTGACCTGGTGCCGCTGGCAGCCCGCCTGGGCTTTGGCTGCCTGGTGCTGCCGAGGGAACTGAAGAGCGCTGCGGAGAAAAGGGAGGAAGGCTCGAGAAGCAGCTTTTCATTTGCCACAACTTTTGCCGCACTTCCTCCTCCTGGTGCAAGCCTTCCACATGGCTCACTTCTGTCTCCCCACATGGCGAACACATCGCACCCGGGACAAAAAGCAATCACACAGGGATCTCCCAAACCTTCCAATCTCTCCTACACTGCTCTCTCTCAATGCAGCTTTTACTCTGTTTTCTTCCTATCTACAATGAAGATGCTGAAATAATTAAGCAACAATTCTTTTACTTTGGATAAGCTTGTTAAGAGTGCTTTATGCTTAAAACCATGACAAATGTACTCTTTTTATTATTTACACAAATGACTTTTAGAGCATTTTCCTGATGGACTGTTATTACTACTTGAGAATATGTAATCTGAAATGATCATAGCATGAAACACTTCAGAAGAAAAGAAAAATTTATAACTAAATAATTGAGAGAATACTCTTATAGCACTTGGCACGTCAGCATGATTCAGACAGACGACAGCAATACACTGAAGTAAGAATGTCACTTTTAGCTCCTTCAAAACAGAAACAGCAGAAAAACCTGACCATCTCAAGAACAAAGTCACTGGAGTCACCTTCTGGATTCTTATCCGTTTGAACCACAATAAATAGGATAAAACAAACCTCTGCACAGAACTGGCAGATCTTTCAGAAGACACAACATCATCTTGTCTGTCAGTACAGCCCGAGGGGGAAGGCAGTGGGGGGCACAACTTCCGTAATCCTTTGTAATAAAAGTTTTCTCTATTTCATCTCCAAAAAAAAGCAAGAAAATCAGCTAGTTTCATTATGGGAATAATCTAGAGGGAGTATAAACACTGTCAGAATTTTTGGTCCATGATGCAACCCTGAATAAAATATTAGCAAAACAAATTTAAAAAAAATCCATTATCTTGGCTTGGCGTATTTTGTTTCAGTGTAAAAAATTACCTTTCTGGAGCACGAAGAACACAAGGCCATTCCCGTCCCTCCACCCCTCAATAAACAGATGTGAAAAACTAGTTGCTTCACTCAGATTAAAATTTCCTAACATATTTCTCACCCTAACTTAAACCACAGGAGGGATAAATGCAGATTTTGTGAACCACAGTACTTCAAGTTTGATAGTGAAACTTCTGTTCTTGCTAAACTTGCACAATGAAAATACAGTCAATTTCAATTACATATTTTTAATTTTACCATGTTTAGATGTCAAGTGCTCCATGACATACGGTTCTTTCAACAGTGATTTCTGGAAGAATGACTGGTTTTTTATCTGTCCATTTAAGACCACGTGCACTGAAAACAACTTGGAAGTCAAATACTTCTATACTTAATCCTGAGACTCAGTGAGTACAACAAAACATGATCAGTTATTTCTTCCTGACCTGCAGGTACTTGAAACATTCTTAGCTGTAATTTCAAGGTACTTAAAAACAAACCAAAGGAGCTCTGCAAGAAACCCACCCTTCATTAGGTATTTCCATCAACCAAGCTCTGCCTTTCTGTAGCAGACATATACTAGATATGCATGTATTAATATTTAATAAAGATTTTTTAAAATGAAGATGCTCCTAGAAATGATACTAATTCAGACGTGGAATATTAACAGTCCTCTACTAGTGAGACAGAACCACACTGTATTTCCAGACACAGTGTTTAAATACAGGGACTTTGAAGAACATCTGATGAGAGCTGAAGAAAAGCCATTCGATCTAAAGAAGCTGTGACTTCAAGTGAAGAAAAAACAAGCAGCACAAAGGCCACCAGATACCCACTTCTACATTTCACCATGTGATCACAGTTCAGTCATGTAAGTCAAAATATGCACATTAAAATTCTCAAACTTCACAAGCGCAGCTGTCATTCTCAATTTCAGCTGGCTTAGTCAGCCATTGAGTAGTCTAGGAAATGACACAAACTCACCAGAGCTCAGCTTCCTCACCTCATGTAAGATTACGTTCACTGGCTGACTATAATACAAATGTGTATCGAAAGATCCGCTGCAATTCTTTCAGAGCTCAGATCAGCTGTCAAAATCTACTTCAAATAAAGTGGCATTTGAAACCGGACCAAACCGCCAAAAAATAATGTAGGAAACTTTACCTTAATTGGAGCACGGCTAAACTGTATCTTTCTGTTAGCTGGGATTTCATCTTCATCTGGCAATCCATTAATTTCAGAATATTCCATATCAGGTTCATAACAGTTATTGTCATCACTGTCATCCTGATCATCCTGTTCAGTACCTGTCTCTCCCCAGTCAGAATTATATCTGGATCGTACCCGATACACGTTGTAGTCAGAGTGCATATACACATGGGAACTCTGAAAATTATTCACATCTTCATGCGCTTCTTTTTCACTTGCCTCATCAAAATGGGACTCAGTAGGGTCTGAAACAGCATCTGTGGCAAAATCATCACCTGAAACCACACTTCTCGGTACTTCTGCAGCTTCGGGTGTCTCACAGATACCCTCTGCATGTTCTGACCGTTCCTTTTGAGGCAAAACTTCCGACTCGGTTTTTGACTTATTCCTAGCACAGCTGTCCGCAGATCTCTCACTGTCAAGCACGTTGACCAAATCCTGCTGGCTCGCTACAGAGCTCTCAGCAGAATCAGGACTTGCCTCCGCACTCTTCCTTCTTTCTTCTGTTGTTTTTGAACCCACCAAGGTGCCTGTGGACACCTTCTGTCTCGGTGCTGAAGGCGCACTGTTGTGCGGAGAGTTCTCCGCGGCTGTCACCCCTGTGCTCTGTTTGGATGGGGGGGACCACGTGCCCGCATCTTTCAAAGGACTGAAACCCTCGATGTTAGCAACCGGGGAGGGGATATTTGCGACAGTGGAGGAGAGGTTTAGCGGATAGTGACCAGTGACAGAGTACTCCTCGTTGTTCTCCGACTTCTCCACAGCAACTGCATTGTGTGAGTCAGTGTTTTCAAAAACTGCGCTGAGCTGACTCACAGTCGGAGAGATGGTCTCTGTCCTTGGGCTGAGGCTGTCCAGCGAATCGGTGCTGCCTCTGTGAGACTTGGAGCTGCACCATTCGTCCGGGAGCTCATTGGAAACGACTTTCTCTTTCTTTGGGGAATAGCGATTGGAATGTCCCGTTTCATGAGCGTTTCGCTCAAACATCTTCCGAGTTTCGGAAAACTTGGAATAGGAAGGGCCATCATGGAGAGTATCAAATCTACTAATCCTTTCTGAGACGGAGGATTCCAACTTTACGATTGAACCATCTGCTTTTTCTACAAATTCTTTGGGCCTAATGCGTCTTTGAGGTGATGGAGGGCCACCCTTCCCCCTGGTTTTAGGGGTAACTCCAGCACTTTCAGTGGGCTCCATGCCCATCTGCATAAATAAGTTCTTAATCCTATTGACATTTGAGCCATATTTCCTTCCCCTGCTCTGCGAGGCCTCTCCTTCCTCTTTCGTTTTTTGGTCTCCGTCTGATTTCGGTTTGTCAAAGGTGCTTTTCAGCGCCTGGAACTCAGTTCTGTAAGCGTTCCTGTGAGGAGAGGCACTTCGGAGGGTTGATCTTTCCCCTGAAGACTCCGTTTTCATCATGTTTACTCCAGGAGTGCAAAACCAGCTTACATAGTTTCTGCAGTCCCGCTCTCAGAAGTCTGCCACAGCCAAGACTCTGCTTGGGAAGTGTCTTTCTCAAGGGGCACTGCCCTTCAGCAGGGCCATACCAACAGAAGATCTGGACCTAAACACACGTGGTTTAGGTCTTACAAAACACTGCAACCGAAGACTCTCAAGAACAACAGCTGATTTAACCTGCAATAGAAAGGAGATTTTTCTGAATACTTGTACTTCTTTAAATCCAAGCCACAATTTCCATCTACCGTTATTTGATGTGTTTACAAAACAATGGTAAAAAAATACAACCTAACACTGCACAAGAAAACTTGTCATTACAAACTTTTTCAAACTGATTGTAGCATAATTTGTATCCCAGTTGCAATCCGTAGTAGCATCCCATAGTGAAAGAATGGACTATCATGACTTACTGTTCTCAAAGCATCATAGAATCATAAAATGGTTTGGATTGGAAGGGACCTTCAAGGTCATCTGGTCCAACCCTCCTGCCATGGGCAGGGACACCTCCCACCAGACCAGGTTGCTCAAAGCCCTGTCCAACCTGGCCTTGAACACTTCCAGGGAGGGGGCATCCACAGCTTCCCTGGACAACCTGTTCCAGTGTCTCACCACCCTCACAGTAAAGAATTTCTTCCTAATATCTAGTCTAAACCTACCCTCTTGCAGTATCATACCATGGCACAGACATGCATGCAAAGGAAAGGCAGTGTGACCAGAAATGCAACACTACTTCTGTGTTACTGAACTTTTCTAAAAGATATAACTAAAAAAAATCAAAATCAAGCCTCTGAGTTACTTACATCTAACTATAGAGTAATTCATACAAACATGATAGTTCTGCTACCCTGAAGCACTGCAAGACAACCCTTGCTCTCTCTGAGTATCACAATGGTAGAAATGCCATTAAACATAATACACTTAGGAAGGCAAAATTAAACAGCAGCCCGAGGGAACAAGAAAAACTGCACCCAAAGTTACCATCCTCAGTTGACACAATAAAGAAAGTGAAATCCAGTCAAATGAAAGTTGCCCCTTGTCAGGGGCAGCGGTTTTAGCACCTGGAAGAGCCCGAAGCTGCCTGAGGGGCTGCAGAAACGGAGCCGGGACTGGATCTGCTCCCGCCCTCGGACTCCGGGGGCTCTCAGGGGCCGCCGTGCCAGAGCT